CCTGCCGCGGGCGGAGCGGCCGGAGCCGCGATCCACCCCCGGTGTTACCGCGGCCCCGCGCCCGCTCCCATTCAACCCCTTCCCCTCTGTGTCCGCGCCCCCCCTCAGTGCCGGACCCCCTCAGCCCTGCCACCCCCTCAGTGCCGGACCCCCTCAGTGCCGGACCCCCTCAGCCCTGCCGCCCCCTCAGCGCCGCCGCCGCCTCAGCCCCGCTGCCCCCGAACCCCCGCCCGGTCCGAACCCCCGCCCGTCCCGGCGGAGTCTCCTCCCGGCGGGACTCACCGAGCTCCCGGGTGCAGCCGTGCGGAGCGGTCCCGCTGGGAACCGAGGGAGCTGAGGGAGAACCGCGGGAGCGCCGCGGCCCCTCGGGGCGGCCCCTCGCGCGCCGGCGGCGGGTGCCATGGAGACCCCGGGCCGTCCCGTCCCACCCTGCCATGGGCAGGGACACCTCCCACCAGCCCAGGTTGCTCCAAGCTCCATCCAACCTGGCCTGGGACACTCCCAGGGATGGGGCAGCCACAGCTTCTCTGGGCGACCTGTGCCAGGGCCTCCCCACCCTCATTGTAAGCAAAATCTTCCATGAATCTGATCTAAACCGACCCTCCTGCAGTTCAAACCATTCTCCCCCGTCCTATCACACCAGCCCTGCTGAGTTTATTCCCGAAGGACGCAAACAGCCCCTCGCTGCCGGGCGGGCTCTGGGGAAGGCCGGTGCTGTTTATGGCCATTTGCCTGACATCCCACACCGGCAATAAACAGCCCGTGCAGCGCCGAGGGTATTTTCCTTGGGCCATTTGGAGGCCAGGTCTGTCCTTTCCCTCCCTGGGGTCTTTTGAAGATGTTGTGTTGCTCATAGTTGCGGGGGCAAAGCACAAGAGCTGAACAGTTTAATTCCTGTCCTTATTCCCAATCACAGAACTGCATCCCCTGATGGAAATACTGTGCTGGGCATCGCAGCGGGTGAAGGAAGGGAAGGAGCTCCTCAGAGGCAGCGTGGGGGGTTTATGTAATGGAGAAAGTGCAGCTTCTCCCCCAGGCTCAGCCTGTCCAGCCGGGCTCTGCAGGGCTGTTGGTCTGCTCCTGTTACTGCTTTTCCAATAGCCGGGCCTCCCACGGAGACAGGATCTGCAACCCCTCAGCCCTGCACAGATGGAAAGCACAGCTTTGAACTGAATTGGGCCTTTTCTGAGGGGGGAGGGTGTGCTGGTGGTTTTATTCGTTAACAGATAAGCCCTGGATGATAAGGAAAACAGCATTAACAAACAATTACAGGGGCTGACCCTCATGAAATCATTTGTCACTGCAATCCCAAATCCCTGTGAGGGAACAACAGCTTGGTTCACATTCGCCCACACCTCACCTCTGCGTGCTAGAAATGTCGCATGTGGTTTCCTGCGAGTTTTCTCTCAGCTTTACGGTGGATTTTTGTGATAAATCCTCCTGTGACTCATCTACAGAACAGAAGTGCAAAGTCCAGAATTATATTTAATTATTACAGAAAATAAATCATAACTGTACGATCGTGCCCAGCTTGGAAAAGCTCCACTTCCCAGACGTAGGAAGAGGAACACCCATAACCCCCCATGAGAAATGGATTATTGTTGAGCCTCAATTTGTAGTTCGGGGTTAAAACTCGGCTTTGGGGTTTGCTTCAGGGGATGCCACCTGCAATCCCAAACCCGTCTGGATGGCTTTCACAGCCAAGTGCCACGGCAGGGGTTGGCCCAGCCCTCTGCTGTACAATACATAAAAACTGGTCTCATTTTTTACTTTGAAAGGGGCACAGCCCCCTGGTTTCCAGCCTCCCCTCTCCCCCACGCTGCTTTCCAACACGCTGCAGGTACTTCATGGCTCACTGCTCACCAGCCTCACCCCCGGGAGGACCAGGAACAAAAGCACTAAAGAAGCACCAACATCTATTCTTATTTTAGAATCTCAGGAGTCACAATTTTGCCCCTGAAATCAGCAGAGAAAATGCTGACACAGCAACTAATTGTTAGACAAGCAGTGCTCAGCTATTAAGGTTTTTTTTCACCACACTCTTCTCTCCAATATTTCACTGGAAAGGAATCACACAGAAAGAAGGAAAATCTGTAAAGCACTTCACTTTAAATAAATATTGGGACTGTGGGAGGTTAAACAAAGGTCAAGTGCTTGGTATATAAAACATGTAACAATGAACTTAAGAAATTCAATCTTTATTTTGAGAATATTTACAACATAAATAGTAGTACACTCATATACTTAACATGTGTGCCAAAAATAAAAAAAAAGAGTTTAAGTTCTTATCACCTTCTGGTCCTCCTTTTCAAATTTCTTGTTAAAGTTTTATTTTCATCTAATTTTCGACATTTATAGAACCATCAGAAAAAAAAAAAAAACATAGGTTTTTCCTCTTCAAGGGAAAGTTGAATTCTAAAAATCTGGATTCCTGACATTAATTTACATTCTTTGATATACCAAGTGATTTTTTTTTCCCCAAGGAACTTTATTTGTTACAACCTCAACAGCCACAACAGATTACCACTTATAGCAGTAACAATGCAACCCATTATTCAAGATGAATGTTTTCTAAAACAAAAATTACACACCAAAAACAGTGTAACAAAAGAATTCAAACAAAAGGCTCACGTGTAAACACTTCCCATGAGCTTTGTAAAGGCCTGAAGGGGAGTTTCTAACCCGTGTGAGAGCTGTGCAGCAAGGACACATCACAGAGGTGTGAACTGGCACTGCACCTCCCAAACCCGCTCTGTGTGCTGCCTTCCCTGCTGGGAACACAGCTCGTAGGGATTTAGAAGGTGGAAAACTGGACGACTAATTTAGGACATTATTGTGGAAGAGTTTGGCACCAGAACCTTTTCATTGGTGCTCCTGCACACTGCTCCTGAATTTCACTCCCACCTGGGTTATGATATGGGATATATTCTACATAACCCATTCCCTGTGGGGCTTCTGCTCGAGACAGGGACCCTCAACATCACGGCACTGTCTGTGATCACAGACATCCCCTGGACACAAACCACACAACTCAGGGAGCTGATGCTCCTCCACCTTTTTACCTCTCAGTGGAGCCCCTAAGCCACCTCACAAACTCTTTCAGCCTCTGCACAAATTCATTGCTGCTGATGTGATCTCGGATCCTTTCAGATTTCTTTTCCTCTTTCCAAATGCCTTTATTTTTCTTCAAGGCCTTCAGCTCTGCCCGAAGGAGCCTCTTGTGGAGTTTCCAGTACAGGCGGGACTCGTGGGGCAGCCCCTCAATCCGGGCTGCTCTGCCCAGCCCTTGGCTCAGGAGCTCTTCGTTCAAGCACATGCTGAGAAATCGACCCTATAAGAGGCACAATAAAGATGACAGTCACCGTTAAAACAGGTTTATTTGGGGGTTTGTGTGAACACCCCCAGAGGTACAAGCTTTAATTGTGGCTAAATCTATGCTCTGGCAGAAGAAGTTCAAAGTGAAGAGGAATCCAGCTGACTCAAACCCCAGCTCTAATGTGAGGCCCTGGCACAGGTTGCCCAGAGAAGCTGTGGCTGCCCCATCCCTGGAAGTGAAGTGTCCAAGGCCAGGCTGGACGGGGCTTGGAGCAACCTGGGCTAGTGGGAGGTGTCCCTGTCAGCATCTGACAGAGACACACACTCCTGTCATAAGTCAGTCTGCAAAAATACTGGCCTTGAAGTCAGATTTGCAAACACAACATTTAGAATTCACATCCAAAGAGATAAATCATAAATAGTAACATTCCTTAAATGAACGGAGACAACAGAATTGCACGACTACAATCAAATCAAAAGCGCAGATAAAAGCCAGTTTTGGAGGCTCTATTTACCTTATTCACTAAAACAAGGCAGTCCAGGGCCGAGCCCTCCCTGCCCAGGAGCTGGAACCACATGGGCTGTTGGGGGCTGAGCTCTCTCTGCAGCCAGGCTGTGCCACTCGGAGCCACCTCCACCCCCGCCAGCCGGATCAGCAGGAGCCCCTCTGACTGCCCTGGGAACAGAGAGGGACACGTCTGGTGCTGCAGGGAACCTCATGCTTTGCACAGACCCACGGCTCTTGGTAATGAATTTATTCCCGTGGACTCAGGCAAATCACCCCAAAAAATGACCCCAAAACTGACCAAAATCTCCCCAAAACATAGTCCAAAACTGTCCCAAAACTCCCCCAAAAAAGGACCTGAAATTGACCCAAACCTCCCCAGAAAATGAACAGAAACTGACCCAAATCACCCCAAAAGGTGACAAGAAACCGACCAAAATTATCTCAAAAAGTGACCAGAAAATGACTCAAATCTCCCCAAAAAAGGACCAGAAAGTGACCCAAATCTCCCCAAAATAGGACCCAAAACTCAGGCAAATCACCCCAAAAAACGACCCCAAAGAATCCCTTTGGGGTCCCCAAAGGACTTCTCTGCAAACAGGAATTTGGTCTCATTTCTCCTTCAGTTAAAAAAAAAAATAAAAAAAAAATAAAATTCAAGTTTGCACAAGTGGTTTGAGCTGGTTTGGGTTATTCTGCATACAGAGAGAAAGACCTGCTCCCAACCATCAGTCACTGTCACTTATCCAAAGGGGCAGAGGCATTAACACCTGCTGGTGTTTGCACACACACCTGAGTGTGTGACTCATGGAACTGAGGGACAGTTTCTTTCAGACAGCAAAACTGGCCCCCAAAACGGGTGTCTGCAAAGGAAAGCACAAACCCAGCAAAATCTTTTTGCCAGGATTGAGATGAGCTGTGCAAGCAGAAGCACTGCCTGTGTGCTCACTTCTGCTGTTGGAAAATATCACAGTAACAAATAACACAAACACTGTATTGACAGACTCTCTGTATGGGTCTCCTCCCGTCTTTTATTCCCCAGTTTCCCACCTGGAAAGCACAGATAGACCAAAAGGCAGAGCAGGAAATGTTTCAGCCTTTCCTCCCAACCTTGCAGCCACTCTGAGAGCAGCACATTTCATCCCCACCCTTGTTCTTCACATTCCTTATTACTTACACTTTCTCTGGATGGCTGTGATGAAAGGAATGCTGATGGGAATGTGCTCAACTTCCAGGCCCTGCTCTGTGACATGATGTAATTTCCCTCTCAGTTTCACATTCTTTTCTACAAACTCCACAGGTATATCCAGAGCACTTGTAAACTTCGTTGTCTATTAATGAAAGGAAGAGCAAGACAAAGTTTTATGAAGAAAAGTAGAGTGATTACAGTCACATTAGATCCAACTTCTTCTTAAAGTAGTTTGGGAAATTACAGATCTATTATTAGAGAGTATGGACAAGCAAATATAGATATTTACTTAATAGTGATCAGCTGCAGAGGCTGTGCCAGCCTTTCCCTGGCTTACAGGACCTGCAGCATCAGGGTGGACATAAAAGCCAGGCTTAGAGAGAGAACAGAAACTGCCATTTTTTGAGCATTTATTGAAGTTCACTTGATGCACCGTGAAAGGAGTGTTTTAGAAGCGGCCTGAATGGTGCTGGGATGAGGTGAAAGGAAGCCAAAGGACAGACTCGCTGAACACAAAGGCAGAGCAGGGAGGGCAGAGACAGCCCCGCCTTCCCTAAGGGAGGAAACGAGGAGAGGGACAAAGGCAGGTGAACAGCTTTGGGAAGATCACAAGGAGATTAAATTTGATACCACAGCACTGGAGGATCCCGAGGGGGTGTTATGTGATCACACAGGGAAACCAAGCTGAGCAGCAGCAAAGACTTGGGCTGTGGCACAGGAACGGAGCGAACACTGGTTTGGGGTGGAGGGAGAAGGACAGGTGAGACCCCCAGAGAAGACACTGAGGTCTCACTGTAAGAGGTCTTTGCAGAGCACTGACCTAATTCTACTGAGCTGTGAAACCCACTGACCTGCTGAGGTACAACTGCTGGGAACCAAACTCCCAAACACCAGGCTTAAGGCAAAGACCTGTCTCCTGTGTGTTATTTATTCAGCAGTGCCCCTCTGTGGTCCCTAAGGCCTCCCACCAGGAACATGGAAATTCGGGACCTTCAGGTAGGAAGCCTGGAGGGTTTTTAGGAACAGAAGCTGTCCAAAGCTGATCTCATCTGTTCTGGAAGCTCCACCACACAGATTAACACCTTCACAGGCCCTTGGGTCAAAACCAACCAACCAAAAACCGAAAAATATAATTCTGGCAACATTTGTAGTTCATGTTTTCTGGTAGGATTTTAAAGCAGAAACTCTGCGCAAAAGTTCTCTTGTAGCCTTTGGAACTGTGCAGAGGGAAGAAGAGGCTAGCTGTTATTTTTAAGCAGCTGGAACCCTGTGGGAGTGGGGTCACTCCCTGCCCGTGGAGGCTCAGCTTCTCCACGCACCGGTGGTGCGGTGTCAGTGCAGCATGACCTGATCACTCCAGGGAGCAGAGGGCTTCGGGAACAGGCTCTGGGGTGGGAGCACAAGGGGGGGACGAGGGGGCAGCTCGGTCGGGCTGTGGAGGTGCTGCACGACAGTGACACCGAGCCCCTCAAGGTTGGAGCCCGCCAAGATCTGAATCAAACTTTGCCGTTGCTTTTTCCAGCTGTTACTCAGCAGCTGTGGCTGGACCGTTATGTATCGGCAATTGCATCGGGAGCTCAGAACAGACCCAAATGAGGGCAGAGCTGCGCCCGCGGACCGAGCAGCACGAGAAGGGAGAGAGACAACCAACAACCAGCGGCTTGAGCGCTCATGGACGGGAAAGGGATGTCACCTGTGACCAAGGGATGTCACCTGTGACCAAGGGATGCCTTAAACGTACAAATAGTGCAAAGCCTCGAAGATTGCGGAGCGGGGACCCCTTTGAGAGAACCACCCGGCTCCTGCTGCCGTGGAATGGGATAAAACACAGCAATCCCTTAGCTCGGTGCGGGAATCGGCGCTTCCACCGGGAGCGGGCGGGACAGCAACGGGAACGCGCCTGGGCCCGGCCCAGCCGGGTCCCCACCCCAGGGTCCTCACCCCAGGGTCCCCACAGCAGGGTCCCCACAGCGGGGTCCCTACCCCAGGGTGCCCACAGGAGGGTCCCTTCAGCAGGGTGCCTACAGCAGGGTCCCTTCAGCAGGGTGCCTACAGCAGGGTCCCTTCAGCAGGGTCCCCACAGCGGGGTCCCCACCCCAGGGTGCCCACAGCAGGGTCCCCACAGCGGGGTGCCCACAGCAGGGTCCCTACCCCAGGGTCCCTCCAGCAGGGTCCCTCCAGCAGGGTCCCCACCCCAGGGTTCCCACAGCGGGGTCCCCACAGCGGGGTCCCCACCCCAGGCCCCCGCCCGGCCCCCCAGCCCCGCACTCACCAGGCGGACGCTCCGCGCCAGCAGCAGCACCGCGGCCACGGCCGCGCCGGCGCTCAGGCCCTGCGGGCAGAGAGAGGGGGTCAGGGGGGCCGGGGGGCTCGGGCGGCTCGGCGGGACCCCCTGGCCGCCCCCGTTACCCGCAGCAGCCCCAGGTGCGCGTCCGCCCACTCGGAGAGCCGGGCCAGGCCCTGCCCCAGCCGGCCGGGGCCGCTCGGCTGCTCCGCCATGGCCGCGCCCGGGCGGGAACGGGGCGGGACACGGGAAAACATCACCCAGAGCCCCCCCTGCCGCGGGCACGGACACTGCCCACAGAGCGGGCTGCTGCTTCCAACCACCCCGGCCTCGGGCACTGCCTGGGATGGGGCAGCCACAGCTTCTCTGAGCAACCCGTGCCAGGGCCTCCCCACCCTCACAGCCAGGAATTCCTTCCCAATAGCCCATCTAGCCCTGCCCTCTGGCACTGGGAAGCCATTCCCTGTGTCCTGTCCCTCCATCCCTTGTCCCCAGTCCCTCTCCAGCTCTCCTGGAGCCCCTTTAGGCTCTGGGAGGGGCTCTCAGGTCTCCCTGGAGCCTTCTCTTCCCCCGCTTTGAACTCTCCAAACCTCTGACACACTTCCTCTGACCCTGCCAGATGCTCCTTTCTTCTTATCTTTTTAAGGCTTGAGTTTGTGTTTTATTTTTATTTTATTTTAATCTTAGAGGTGTTTAAGTCCTCAGTAATTGTAATTTATTTTTTTTAAATCACTTCAAAAGAGGGTTGGCAGAAAAAAGCAACAATATTAAAATTTTACTGCTTCCCTTCAGCAACCTGCTAATGGGCTGGCACAGCACTAACATTTCTGACCTACAAAATAGCCACTTAGATTAAAAGCACTAATCCATCACTTGTTTTAGCAGTTTGGAAGAATAAACAGTTAGTTAATTTAGGTCATATTTCATACATATTCTGACCAATTTAGAGTGTATGTGTAACTTTGACATTGTTGAGATCATCTAATAACTGATAAGCAATCCTCAACCCATCTTTATTAGTAACAATTTCAGTGGCACCTTCCGAAAAAGTGAACAAAAAATCACAAAGTAAAAGCCAACCCCCAAAAAACTGGGAATTTAATTTCCCATCTTCTGCACTTGAGATGGTTTTCCTCAAAGTCAGAAAAGTTAAAAATCTCTAGGTATGGACAAGCTGTGATTAAATCAGTGCTCTGTGGCCCCAGTGGGGACACAGAACTGAACTGGCTCACACGAGGTCAGTGCACTGGAGGTGAGGGGGCTGGGACTGAAAGGTGCAGCCATAAATCTCTGATGTATTTTTATGTTGCCTTTGTGCTTATGCAGAGGAAGATTTTCAGCTTGGAGAATAAAAACCATCTGATTTCATTCAGCTTGACTGATTGTGCTGTACTTGAAACAAACTGTGACAAGTTGTCCACTCAGGAGAGGGGAAGGGACAGGAGTCAGTGCCAAAGAAACACGTGTGCACAGTCCTCTTCCAGATCCTCCTTGCTCCTGATGCCATGGAGAGAGACCCTTCCAGACCCCTCCTTGCTCCTGATGCCACGGAGACCCTTCGTACAGACCCACCCGTCCCCTCCAGTCACTCCAAAGCTGGGGTTAATTTACATCCCCCCCCAAACACGCAGTAACAGAAGATCCCCAACCTCCTCCAAGCCCAACACTTCAAATACTGACAAGGCAAGAAACACAGACAGAGAGACTCGTGCCCTTCCACGGGCTGTTTAATAGCGATGCACCATTCACACCCACCGAGGTCCCAGTGCCCTCTCAGCGCGGGCTGTGGGTCACTAAGGCACTCAGGAGGGAGGGCAGGGGGGATAATGCACCGGGAATGTTTCCACCACGTGGCATCAGCAGCTCCTGCTGCAGCAGCTCCACCACAGGACTGTGCTCCTTGGATTTACGGGAGGGCGAGACGTGTGCCTGCTCTCTGGGAATCTGCCAACTTCGTCATCACCAACTCGCTTTTCTTACCCCCAGCTGGGAGCAGTCACGGTTTTCCCATTGATTTTGAGAAGGAATGCTCAAATTTTAGTGACACTGGGGAAACCCAATGCTATCAGTTCATTCCCTCAAACTCACCCTGCTCTGAAGGCCCTCCCCTGGGAAGCCCAGCTGCTGCACCTTCCAGTTACAGCTGCAGGAGCCGAGGCTCAGAGGATTGTGCGTTACTCCAGTCCTACCTTACAGCATTTTGTCCTCAAGAAAGTTCCTTGAATGTAAATCAAAATGCTTTGAAACAGCGGAAATAAATTAAACAAATGTAATTTGATTATAAAAATATTTTCTTATAAATCTTTAAAGCTTATAAAAGCCAGAAAATACATTTAAAAGAATCTCCGGAACGTTTCATCCTTTGAGGCGTGGCCACAGTTCAGAAAGTGAGAAGCAAAGCCCACAGACACCTCACACTTGATCTTCCCACAAGGAATTCCGTGGTACAACACTTAACCTGTATGTGAGAATGCCTTTGGTGTCCTTCCCTGGGCCAGCTGGCCTGTCAGGTCACTTCTGTGTGACAGTAAAGCTGGGACTCAGCTGGCAACGCTGCCCCTCGACAGCCACGGCACCAGGAGCTTTTCCAGGGGTGCCGTGTGGGATCAGCGGTGGTTGTGCCAGCAGCCGTGGCTCTGGAGCTCAGGGAAATGCAGGATACTCAGGGAGGACAGAGGTGGGAGCCTTTACTCTCTGAACTGACACTGGGAGGGCAGTGGTGTCACAGCCATGGCCTCAGCCACACGGTCTCACTGCTGTGGCACCAAATACCGATGTTCCTGGGGGTGGGTTATGGGATATGTCTGTGTAATAGAACTAAAACAACCTTGCTGGTCCATCCAACGTTTAAGTGCATCAATTGCTCCTCTTGCACTTCCAGGAAGACTGTCCTTCGTCCTGCAGCTTTTTCAACTTTGGTCCAAGGAGGAACCACCAGCCAAAGCCCAGGATGAGGCAGACCACGGACTCCACGTAGTAACCGTCCAGGGTGGTCACGCAGGAGCCACCAGCCTCTGTGCAGAGCTGAAACAGGAGCACAACCTGATGCATTAAGTACCTCTGGGAGACACAGACACAGACTTCAGAAAGATTAGAGAGCCACTGGTGTCTACCTGCTCTTGCTTCTGACTAAGTATAGTTGTTGACTCTTCCTTGTTTCTTACAGAGGCAGTCAGAGAGGCTTTGGAGCTTAGCAGCAGCATGAAAAGTAACAAATCTGTTCTAACATAATTTGGGAAATGGAGCACACTGGCCCACGGGGCAAACCCCAGGAAACAGAAACTGCCCCACTGCCTCAGACTGCCTGGAAAGTGCAACCACTGGTCTCAATCCCATGGAGAAAGATGATTTTTTTTAACAGCCATCCATGTTATGGTCTCCCCACCCCTGGAAGTGTCCAAGGCCAGGTTGGACAGGGCTTGGAGCAACCTGGGCTAGTGGAAGGTGTCCCTGCCCATGGCAGGGGATGGAACTGGATGAGCTTTAAAGTCCCTTCCAACACAAACCAGTCTGGGGTTCTCTGTCTGGGAGAAACACGCCCAGGATGGTTTTTAACCCCCAGCATTTAAAGGGTGAGTGTACATACAGCACAGGACTGTTTCTGCTATTGTTTGGCTTTCAACACTGCTCTAATCCCAGGATAAATCAATCCCCTGAGCTGAGGCTCTGCCAGCACTTTCTGAGACATGTCAAAATCAGATTAGGAATAAGAAGGGAGTGGTGGTGGTGGTGGAATGTTACCAACTGGGAGGATGAGAGAAAAGATCAGAGGAGTGAGGTGAAGGAGGAAGGACTCAAGTTCAGTAGAGGCCCAGGGAACCTAATTAGTGACAAGCTAATGAGGGAGGCTGAAAAAGCACCCGCTGTGGAAGCAGTTTCCCCTCTGCAAGCAGTAAAAACTGCAAGTCCAGCTCAGACAAGTCATGTTGGATTCCCAGAACACTTTGTTCAGAGAACCTCCACATCCCAAAGAGTCCTGGCATTCAGGAGTGAAATAAATCTCACTCAGGAGCACTCAAAAAACCCCCCAAACACTTCCACTCTTCAGCCACATTAAGTGTCTCATTTGCCACGAGGAGGTGAATTTGAAACCTCGCTTTCCCAGCAGTTTTGTGTCCTGTTGTTTGATCTGTGTACAGTGCACAGCAAGTTCTTTGTTCTCTTCCAGAGGGATCCCAGGACTGGGAAGGCAGCCAGTCCCACTGCTCCGTTTCAGGGGGAAAGTGAACACCAAAGTCAGGGAGCAGAGCAGCAACCTGGAGAAAGGATCAAGGCAGGCAGAGAGGAAACCTCCAGGAAGACAGGAGGAAGAAAAACCTACCACAGGAATGGAGGGACTTGGAGGACAGACAGCCCTGCCCAGGACAGAGCCCCTAATTACACAGCTCATAAACACGCCTACAGCCTCCTTACACCAGAGCACGTGGCACCAATCTGGTGCTTCTACTACAGCTTTTCATCCCAGCCCAGAAAGAAAGGGACAACTACCCTGCAACTGCAAATCCCCTGGTAAGATGCTGGTTAGTCAGAGTGGACAGACAAAAGCAGACAATTTTGTCAGACGGGAAAATCAGCTCCACCAGTGGGAATTTTTAAGCGTGAGCTGTGCACTGTGAAGGTTGTCAGAGGCAAAAAAAACACCCTAGGAAGCAATTTAATTGTGCCACTATTGAGCAGGGCCCTCCAGAGCCCCCAGACTCACCTCTGCAGCCGCTGCAGTGCCACAGGAGTGGCCCTGGGCCCCGGCACACTCCTTCACCGTGAGGGGATCCACCAGCCACAGGGCCACGGTGGAGGGCCAGTTGCCCCCCAGGTTGGACACCGTGTTCAGCAGGGTCATGTAGGTGCCCCCGATGAGTGGGTCGCTCACCTTGGCGTTGAAGGCCATGATTGCCACGTACATGCTGTACAGGGTGATCTGGGGGGACAGACACACACACAGGGGTCTCCACGGGCACCACAGCTCAAACCCCCGACGTGAACACTGTCCTGAGGTTAGCAACATTCACTGAAAAACAACCCCAACAGCTTAAAACTGCCCCAGGGAGCAACTCCTCCTGCAGCCTGTCCCTCTGCTGACACGAGGAGTGGCCTTGCCACTTGCCTCAAGTCGTGCTGCGTGACCTGAGTCATGGCCCACGTGCACTGGCACGACTCAGGTTATCAAACTAAAACACAACAGCTAAAATAGCATCCAAACCCAACACTGTTGTATTTAAAAATCAACCCTCACAGCATCATACAATCAGTTCTGATCCAAAGCCAGGTTTTCCAGGCCTCTGGATCAGATCCATTGTGATGTTCCTCCAACAAGCTAGCAGTTTTTCTA